TCACTGTCTGTCTTGGTCAGTGACTTGTGTGGCTCTCTGCCCATGCCCTGCCTATTTGCACATTTGGACCTGGACTCTGATCTCCTGAACCTGTACCTGTTAAACCTGTTTTTACCCAAGCTGAAGGACTCAGGGAACCTGCTTCTTCCCCTGGGGCCAGGGTTGGGTTTATTTCTTAGACAAGGCAGGCTGGGCTCTGTGCAGATGGTGACACAGAAGAGGATATTTCCAGCCTGGATCTCTCTCCTAAGCTCCAGGCCTACTCATCCATCTCTGTCTAAAGAGGAAACATCTATCTGGATGTTTCCAAAAGCACCTTGAACGTAATCCATTTAACACTGAACCTGCCAACTATCCTTCCTCCCCCAAAGTGCTTCCCCTACAGTATTTTATTTTATTTTTTTGAAGATTTTATTTTCTTTTTTAAAGTAATCTCTATACCCAATGTGGGGCTTGAGCTCACAACCCTGAGATCAAGCATCGCACACTCCTTCAACTGAGCCAGCCGGGCGCCCCAGTATTTTTTTTTTAATTAATTAATTAATTTATATTTTATTTATTTATTTATTTTTTTAAAAAGACTTTATTTATGTGAGAGAGAGAGAATGAGAGAGAGAGAGAGAGAGAGCATTAGAGGGGGGAGGGTCAGAGGGAGAAGCAGACTCCTTGCCGAGCAGGGAGCCCGATGTGGGACTCGATCCCGGGACTCCAGGATCACGACCTGAGTTGGAGGCAGACGTTCAATTGACTGAGCCACCCGATGCCCCAATTAATTTATATTTTAAAGTTTATTTATTTTTTAGTAATCTCTACACCCAATGGGGCTTGAACTCATGACCCTCAGATCAAGAGTCTTATGCTCTTCCTACTGAGCCAGCCAGGTACTCCCTCCTCTGTAGTATTTTAAACTCGCTGCATCATACTTCTTCCCACCCAGTTACTTATAACGTGGTGCTACCTTTTCACTCCCCGGCTCCCCAAAGTCACCAGATCCCATAGCCCCTACCTCCAAAGTCTTTCTCAAACCCTCTACTTTTCTCACATCCCACTGCCTCTACCCTAGGTCAGGCCATCATCCCTTCTTACCAACCTGCCAACTGATCTCCTGTCTAGACTCTCTGCCTTGTCTAATCCTCTTTAGTACAGCCTGAGTCATTCCTATAAACACTCCCTGTTATATCCCTTAGACCTTCCCAGGGTCCCTTAGAATTCTTTTGCCTAACTCCACAGCCTGTACTGTCCAGCCATCGAATTAATAGCACTAGGCAGGCGCAAAAAGGGAAGCTCTAAGATCAATTAGTGCAACCTTCCAGGGGTTCATGCTTGTCCCCACTGTGACTTCTGGTCCCTCTGCCACTCCCCCTGCTTATGTTCACTCTCTCTCTCTCAAATAAATAAAATCTTAAAAAAAGGAAAGAAAGAAAGAAAGAAAGAAAGAAAGAAAGAAAGAAAGAAAGAAAGAAAGAAAGAAAGAAAAGGAGAAAGAAAGAACACAAGCAATAAGATACAGTCCTTTATCCAAAGCCTGGGGTCTACTTTCAGATTAATTACATTCTATACCCCACCCCACCCCCCACCCAAGTTTCTTTCCTGAGTTCAATTATTAGGAAGCTTCCAGACTCTGGCCAGCTCCACAGAGCCTGTATGAAAACTCCATCCTTAGGTTGTGACAAAAACCAACTCTGTCTCACCTACTGCTTTCTTGAACATCCATTTCTCTTCAGCTAAGTGCTGAGATGCTAGAAACTGACACAGGAACGACCTGGGTTTTAGGTAATCCCTTATCATGATTCTTTTTTTTTTAAGATTTTATTTATTTATTTGACAGAGAGAGAGACAGCGAGAGAGGGAACACAAGCAAGGGGAGTAGAAGAAGGAGAAGCAGACTTCCCGCTGAGCAGGGAGCCCGACGCAGGGCTCTATCCCAGGACCCCGGGATCATGACCTGAGCCGAAGGCAGACGCTTAACGACTGAGCCACCCAGGCGCCCCCCTTATCATGATTCTTTAATCACAACAGCCATGCCAGGAAATTTTACCCACAGGAGGCTGGATTTGCCCTGGGATTTCTGGCAAGGTCTGAGAGACACCTCTTCCTTAGTAGTGAGGATGGCTGGAATAGAGGGAGGGACCTAATATGTAGGAAGTTCTTGACATGTGCCAAACACTTTATATATTTAAATTTTTAGCGTAAGCCTTGGTTATAGGTGTCAATCCCTAATCATATTTTGAAGAATTTGAGGTTCAGAGGGGTTAAGTGTCTTGTTCAAGGTCTTAAACAGTCAAACTAGGAGTGAAGTTTGGGCTGGTTGATGACATGGTTATGATCTGAACCATGCAGCCTATGGAGGGAGAGGTAACTTTGCTGTCTTTGAAGGTTAAGACTTTTCCACCCTTTTTCTGGTTCTAGGGTTTCTTTTAATCTCCAAACATTTGCCAAACTCCCACATAGCAGTATCTCTTTGATATTAGGAGGTATATAAGTTTCATAGACAAAGTACCTTGCATTCAACTCAGTACCTTGTTCTCTAACTATATCGAGCCCGTCATTTGTTGGTATTTACACTTGCAGATACTGAGCATGTACTATGTAGAAGTCACTGGTCCAGGAGCTAGAGGTAGGAGAGGTTGAATATACAGAATCTGGAGGAAGGAAAGGCCCTGGGTTCTGGTGCCATCATTACTTCCTGTTCTCCTCCCAAGTCTCTGAGGCCTTTCATGGGGGGCTTCTGGATAAGGCGGCTCCTAAGGGGAGGAGGTGGGTATGGATGAAGGGAGTTTTCTTGGCACAGTCACCACAAACACCTGGTAAGGTGCACAAAGCTGGGGAAATGAGACAGAAATACAGAACTAATAGAAATACAGAAATATTTTGAAGGGGAGAAATTGCTCATTTACTTAAAAATAATGGACAAACCCTTTAAAGCTTGTGATGCATTCCTTTGTATTTTATGGTTGTCAGGAGGCCTTTTCACTTGGAGAAAGTCTTCCTGGTTTAGAGAATTCTGTGCCAGAGGAAAGGGCAGGATTATAATCCTAATACTGCTACCAGTTTGCTGGATGACTCCAGGTGAATTATTCAACCTATTTATGTGTCAGCACAGAAATGGAATGAGGTCAGATATGTCACAATATGTTTTCTGTGGGATTGCCAGTAAAAGGATTGTGATAAACAACAGCTATTCAGCGTGCATAACAGAACACTTCTGCTTTTTGTCTCTGGGTCAGAAGAGCTGACACAGGCTCACATTGTACACATGGCATAAAACCCTTGGGAGTCTGAAACTTTATGGAGTTAATAAAAAGCAACAGACACCTGTTATTTGCATAGTGCTCTATGCTGAATGGTTTATAAAGCATTTTCATATATCATCACAACTGATCCTCACCCCACCTGTGAAACGGAATTAATGTCCCCATTTCATACCTGAAGAAACTTGGGTCACGCAGATCATCAAGGTAATTCAGGCAAAGGTGATTTATTTTAATTTTATTTTTACTTTGCCTCAGCTACGTAGAAAATTATTTTTGTCACCTTAATAATTTGTGATAATGGACCATCACAAATGCCATCACCATACAAACAAAACACAGTCTTCTTTTCTAGGGACACTGCCCATCCCTGCACAGACCCCACACCCAGAGTCACCAACATGTAGCTGTAAACCACCAGAAACTCCAAACAACCCACAACAGTGAGGGATCATCTTCACATTGATTATACAACAATGCCTGGGAGTATTTTGGAATGGTTTGGCTTTTTATTTTTTTATTAAAACAAAAAAATTTAAAGATTTATTTATTTATTTGAGAGAGAGAGAGAGCAGGCACATAAGAACATGCAGGGGGTGGGGGGGGCAGGGGTAGGGGGAGAGAGAATCCCAGACTCTCCACTGAGCATGGAGAGCACCAGGGGGCTGGATCCCAGCCCCCTGAGATCATGACCTGAGCCAAAATCAAGAGTCAGATGCTCAACTGACTGAGCCACCCAGGCGCCTTGGGTTGGCTTTTTAAAAAAGTTGTTTGCGTTCATTTGGGGGATTGCCAGCTAAGATTCAACTCAATTTGGTTGTTTGCTTCTGCAAGGGAATCGAGGCTGAGAACACAGGGATTGCCTAGAGAATTAGCATGGGAAAATGATGTAAAAGCTTTAGGCACATTAACTACTTAGCAGTCCATCAACAGCAAGGTGACTGAAACTATCTCCCCCTTTGTGTGTGTGTGGGGGGTGGTAATGGTGAACAGGTAGGGTCCTGTTCCCCTATAGGCAAAAAGGGCCTCTTGTCTTGGCAGGGCAGCACTGTATATAGGGCCTGTCCAGAGGCAAGACCTCCACGTGTGGGGGAATGTGTTCTGTTCAGCCCAGTTTTGGGGTGAACGCTGATAGACCTGTCAATGCCGTTGTGGTGAACTTGGGAGGGGGTCAGTTTTTCTAGACTTGTCCCCCAGCTGGGACTCTCCCTGGTGAAGCTGGTAGCACCTGGGGTCCTCCTGGTCCTAGGGTATGCAGGTTCCAGGCCCTCTGCATTATCACCACAAGGAAGGTGCTCTGCTGCGTGCAATTTGTTTCCAAGTGT